GGAGGAAAGTGACGTAAACTCATTTTATTTTGTTTGTTTGTTGTTTAACCTCCCTCTCGAGAACTTTTCACTCATATGGAGACGCCACCACTTGCCGGTGGATAATTTCATGCAAACTTTGACCTATACTCGGCACTTAGGGCCATTGAGCAGTGAGGGATCCTTTCCGTGCTAACATCTACTGCGACATGGGACCTCGGTTTATACTGTCTCATCTGAAGGACTGGTCTCCACATACCACAGTAGGATTCGAACCCGCGACGTAAAGATCAATTCCTCACTCTGCGACTCTAAAGCAGACGCTCTACCACTGTGCCACGCGGGCGACCATGTCCTTTTGTAAAGTAGAGAAATGCAGCCATGAAGTTGAATGTGTGTTTAATTTTACTCTCTATTCATAACAGGAAGAAATGAATCAGATTAAAGATAGGGGATTTATACAGGTTAATGAAACAACTCCACCTAAGGAAACAAACAACATATAATTTAGTACATAAAAGGTCAACAGTAGAAACTCTTAAAGATACAAGTCCTACTTATGAAACAATTTTATCATTAAGTGTAACGCCCGCATTTGTTCGCAACTCTTAATGAAACAACCATAAATTTGCAGTCTAAATCATAAATGATATAACTAGCTTATTATATTCCAGTCACTGATAGGACATTACTGAGAAGAATAAATTTAGTGCTAACTGAAAATTTACTATCCCAGTGAGTTGGGGAAAATGCTAATTTGCCGTAAAAAAGGCAACCACATAGTAATCTTCAGAGAGAAAACAAATAGGACTTAAAATTCTTAAGAAAATTAAACAGCGTTTCAAGTTACGGGGATATTTTTTAGGTCATTGTTAAGATTGTTATCTTTTTAAAATCCGTGTCACTCTCTATACACATACACTGATGTTGATATCTTGCATGAAGTAAGAATATTGTTTACTAGATGTAGAAACAAAAAGTCAATGCTCTTAAAAGTTTAACAACCAAACATGTGATGCATTTCCTATTTGTCGAGACGACAGCTTCCTTTTGCTGTGTGTGTGCACAAAAATAAACATTCCAGTTGCAACAGAGCTCTTACATTATACGGTAAGGTCACATTTTATCTATGTTTTTATATATATGTGTGTAGTAACGAATATTTTTTTTAAGAATCAAGAACAGTTTTTAACCAGAAGTATCCGTACTTTTTATTATAGAAAAACAATTTTATAAAGATAATGTTGTAGAACTGAACCAAAAAAAGATAATAATTTCCCCGTTATTCATTGTTCACGTTTTACCTCATCTATGCTATAAGCTCAGACAAACTTTTCTGATCACCTGTTGTCAAGCCGGACGTCGGTTTGTCTGTAGATTATGATTTTTCGACTTCATTTATGTAATCACCAATATCAATCAAACATGCTACAAAGCGTTCTTTGGTATAAAAGGGATATGGATTTGTTTAAATGATGGCACACACCATCTTTCATGAGAAGATTATTTTGAAATAGTCAAATTTGGCTGCATCTTATTTCTTCTCCAGAACCAGTAAGCAAGAAGATAAAATGAAATGATATCATTGTAGATTGGGAAGGATATCAAAGTTTTACATAGGAATATATCCATGTAGGATTGATTTATTGATTGTATGTTGTTTTACGTCCAGTTCGAGAATTTTTCACTCATATAGAGACGTCACCATATTCCGGTAAAGGGCTCCAAATTGAGACCTTTACTCGGCACTCAGGGCCATTGAGTAGTGAGAGTTCTTTATCGTGCCAACGCCTATCGTGACACGGGGCCTCGGTTTTTAAGGTCTCATTCGAATAACCCGCACCTTTCACTTCAAAGTGCCGAGCGCTTGGCGAAGGAACAGTTGCTACCTATTTTTATCGGCTTGGGTCAGTCGCGGCCATGATTCGAACACACGACCTTCCGATCACGGAGCGAGCGCTCTACCGACTGAGCTACGGTGACGGTTATCCATGTAGGAAAAGATCTTCAAAAATATTCTCAAAAGCAGCAGGTCTATGATTCTAATAATTTAACATATTAATATGGAAGCATTGTCAGATAATGTCAGATTCAAAATCATTCAAATAGAGTAGGGTAGGCCCACAATATGGGATCAAATTTTACGTAAGAGTTTATAGAAAAAATTTCAGAAACAACAGGCTATAATTAGTGATATGAATTTGCAATTATCTTCATGTAGTGCAGATTCAAGTTTGTTCAAACATATGCCCCTGGGGGTAGGAATGCACCACAACTGTAGATGAAATTTTACATGGGGATTTATCGGAAAAAAATATATTAAATTTGTTTTCTAAAAACCACTTAGTCATAATTTTTTTTTATATAAGACATGCAAACATTAACGTGTGGTGCAGATTCAAGAATGTTCAAATCATGGTTCCAGGATGGAGCTAAAGTAGATAAAGAGATTAAAAGCTTTTATGGGAATACATAAAAAATTAAAATAAATCTTTTGTAGCCAGGCCATAAAAAATTTAATTAACAAGCAAACATTCCAAAGTTGTTTGGATTGAAGTTTGTTTTTCGAATTATGGTTCCCAGTGTTAGGGTGGGACTAAGATTTTGCCATTATCCTTATTCCTTTGTTTTCCCATTGTATTATTCCTTTATTTTCCCATTGTATTATTCATTTGTTTTCCCACTGTATCCCTAACCTAGTCTTTAGAGCCATTATTTGAAGGAATTATAATTTACATTATATGTTGATGATTACACATAAATATAACTCATTATATTGTTCTGCTGATTTTGAGAATAAGATTATTGATAGTTTCACTTAATGCCTCTTTTATAAGCATTCATCCTCTTTTGTGGTCCCATACTAACCACGGAGCTATGTTCAGTACAAACTTAAATTTATTCTCTTTTTGGAATCTTCCTCATAGAATTTGGTTTCTCTGATGTAGTGGTTCAAGAGAAAAATATTTTTAAAAGAAACCACCCTATTTTTCTCGATTTCTATTTTTTTTTTCCTTGAGAGACAGTCTTGATCTTTATTGGAACAAATATCAATCATCTAAGAAGCTAAAAAATAGAAAAGTTTGTAGACAACACAAAATGGACGGTAGAAAGACAGACGAAAACCAGACTCTCTTCCATCAAGAAAGCTCACTTGAACCTTTGAGTTATACACAAAGTCAAACATGACGCATACACAAAAATATCAGTAAATTACAGGGTTAGGGGTCTTATTATATTTGGAAGGAATATAATTTTACAGGATTTTTCTTTTTTTTCATATGGAATACTCGAGGTCCGCAGAGTAATGAACTTGATATATATATATATATATAGAGAGAGAGAGAGAGAGAAAGAAAGAGAGCGGAGGGAGTTTTCTGAGGACAGCCCTAGCGTAACAAAACGGAAAAAAATGATGTCTTATCGCATAATGGCAAAAGATTTTGCACAAAATCCGAATATTCAATTTTAAGAAAAATTGAGTTAAAGGAAACAAAATTGAAAATTTCGCGAATAAGCATGAATAGATATTATGCTAATTAGAAAAGTTCACACATATACATGGTTTAATTTTCTCGCAGAAAGAGATTAAAAATTTCATTAAAGATATAAAGTAAATATCTATTAAATAAATAGAAACATAAATTTACTAAATATAAAAAATATGTATCTTCTTATTACATATAAAAATAAATAAATTCTGAATAAGTAATTGAATATTGGTATTTTGTGCAAATTCTCCAGCAATTCAATGGTAAGATATTAAATCCAGAATTTTACATCCGGTTAATCATGTCCTCCATGAATTAGATAATTCATATTCATTTTTTTCATCACAAACTGCATGTATATCTTAATTCAAATTTTGATATTTTTTCTATCGAATTTAGCTACGTTAAAATGATCAATCTTTAAAAAAAAAATTGTTCGAAATATGCATAACGTAACAAAAAGCCGAGAAAATAAAAAAAAAACTTTACAACCACCACCACCTGCGCTAATATATGTATGTATTTAAGAATTTAATTCTGACTGTAACGAGCCATTTTATTAGATAAAATTTTACTTTATATCTTATAAACTGAGTTGCCTATGTCACAATTCAGTTAAGATATATCGTCTTTCGGTTTCTCTCTGACTGAAGCTTTTTCGAAACAAAAAATATAAAAATGATAAGTAACCAAATGGAGTAAAATAATGAAATAATGTAATTGAGTGTGGTTAATATTTTAACCACTTCAGCTCAAAAATGCATGGTGCGAGTATAGTGTATGTGGATTTTAAATAGTGTCCAATCTAGCGATATAATAGAAACAATTCTAAGTCGCCAGAATATGGAACTAGAATACTTGAAGAATCTTTCCTTGGATAGGTAAGTTTTAAAAAAAGAATTACACTTCAGTGTGCCAAGAGCAAGTGTGTATTTATTGTCGATAATGACACGCAAAGTTTAAATCTGCTGATCTCAGGCCCGTAGGAAGCAATTTCAGTTTGAAGGGGGGGGGGGGGGGCACAGCCATACATTTTCAGTTGAGGGGGCACTATCAACTACCAAAAATTCCTTGACAAGCAAAAAGAAAAAGGTCATCAGACGTTTTTATTGAGGGAGAACAAGCATATATATAGTAGCTATGTTTTTCTATAGTAATCTATATATCGGCAAAATATTGGGGGGCACGCCCTCCCCCCCCCCCCCCCGTGTCCCCCCCCCCCCCCGGTTCCTATGGCCATGGATCTCATATTAACTTATATCTACCAAACTCAGTAAATCGTTTATGAAGTTAAAACAATGAAGACAACTATGAATTTTTTCCCCATGTTTACGGGTAAATACAAATATACAAATATTCATCTACATGTATACATGTACCTTAGTGTATTTGTACTTATCTTATCTATACACATACAATTCTAATCCCTCTGTGTGGGATATGTTTCTTTTTTTAAATCTCTGACTTCTCGGTAGATTTAAATCAATAACGTGTGTCAGGTTTCCGGATTGCAGAATTATGCACGCTTAAGCTGTATATATGCATTTAGTACAAACTTTGTTTATTTCTATGGACATTTAATTTGAATGACACTATTGGGGAGGACATATTTCGTGACTTTGGGAGGTAAATAGCTTTTACTCATTTCAAAATTTAAATTTTCTTATCTAGTAAAAATGTGAAGAAAGACTCACATTAACAAATATGATCAAGTTTAATAGTATGTCATGTATGTGTAAATTATCCCTCGGAACCAATCAGGCTTTTGTCTAGACACATATTTTAGGCATGTAAGTATGTTGTGTTTAAAAATAACTCCTCAATTATTTTAAGCACAGCTTATATTTCCAAAGATAAATGGTTTTTAAATAATTATTATTTCTTCGAGGTGATAGGATATGTTATAAAAATACTTTCTTCAGCAGATCACAGACTGAATTACGAATGAAATAGAAATAAAACATTAGACCGATGTCTGACTGGTAAAATGGCTTTCATGTGTCTTAATTTTTGAAGGGGTTTTATACTGCTCCTGTCTCTATGTATTTGAGTTAAATCATTTAAGAAACAGACTGACTAGGTATACTAACAGTTCTGCATTTTTAACACCATTTTCTCGCCGATATTCCTACAGTAGGGGTCCCCTTTCTGTTCTTGGTCAATTAAGCCCTGGTCATTTACTTCCTCCTCGCTGGATTTTAAAGCCTTTACCTGGCTACACCTGTCTCAGGTAAATACAGGTAGATCTTATTAAGCTTTGAAATGTTGGCAATTTAACGGGCCTTATCCAGAAAGGTGATTCTGTTATTTTTAGCTGGTTCTGTTTTTTATTGTTGTAGAGCATCAAGAGTTTCCTATACCAGGGTTTATTTGTTTGTTCAGTTTCTTTTTTTTTTCTTGTTTGATGAGATATTGCATCAAAACATAAAGATCGCATGTAAAGTGCTAACTTGTAAGATATTTTCATAGTTTTAGAATAAGCAAACTACTTAATGTAAAGGAAGGAAAAATTAAAAGAAAAACAGCGAGTAGACAGAAAAAATGAAGGTTCCTTCTTTTTAAATTTACCCAGGTCCTTTATGTACTTATGTATATTATATTTGTTGTTTCTGATTTATACGATACACATGTCGATACACTGTATGCTTCAAGATATATATGTAAAATTAAGATAAATAAGTGCATAACCTAACTTATGGTTATCATAACTTTACTGTATACCACATTTGCGGATTTTTTTTTATGTGGGTTTCACACAAAACCCAAAATAGTGCAGCACGACATGTTGTGCATGTAACATATCAAGGAAGAAGATTATAATGGTACACATCTATACCTAAGTTAGAGGTAGATACGAAACTTGGACCCTGCCTGTGTTTTGAGATAATGAATATTTTATGCGCTGGTTTCCAAATTATATCTTCCAATCAATCACTGTCTAAATAAAAAAAAAATCACATTAACTTTATATTTGGAAACTTGTGAAATGTTCGGAGCGGGATATTCGGGAACTGCCAACCGCATCTTATCTTTCTTGTTTTCTTTTAAACAACAAATCTAACAAGAAATAAGTTACAGCAACATATTTCTTGATTTTAATCATATCTGTTTGGGTATACACATGTAGTACACATTACTAGCTATGTAATCATTGTCTCTGTTTTAAACATTTCTGGATACCTACAGTAATAATGCATCTTTAGCTATATGTCTCTAAGCTGAACATCCAGTGGATACTCATGAAAGAAATAAATTTAAGTATCAAATACACTAGGTCTTTGCTTTGAGTTTTATGTGTTTATGGGATGGAATGTTCTCAGCCGAGGGCAAGACACATTGTTCTTCCATGATCGGAAGCTGTCCATAATTTGTTAAAATCCCACCAAGAAGGGTTACACCCAATAGGTTGTTATATAGAATTTAGATAATTTCACTCTACTTAGTGACCTTCAGATTAGCTATCTTTACAAGCATCTGTTAAAATATCATTTTATTCTTCCGGCAAGAATAATGAGTTCATTTTGCTTTCACTTAAGGAAGCTCTAAACACTAACAAAAAGTACTATTTGGACTTGGGGAAAAATGTATCATATAAAGGTATGCATATTGAGACTATTTAGTTCATTTTCAACATCGGGTACCTGCCTTATTTCGGCAGGAAAAATGTTTAAAGACAAGACCTATTCTTAAACAGAAATCACTGTTCTTTACTTACAGTGGGAAAATTAATGGAAATAATGAATTCAATTACTTATTCTTACAATGTTAAGCATAATTTTAATCTATTACAAATTGTGTAATTAAGTGTAAATTTTTTTTAATCGTTTTGTTTTTTAAGTCAAAGTTTCCATAACGTTTTTTGGTATAGTTCTTACTGTTTGGTGTGTATCAAACACTTATCTACATTCCGTTCATGGCAGAGTACGCGTCGATCCTTCGGTTAAGAGCATTTTAACAGCATTCTTACGACATATGCATGATATAAAAATCTTAAGGACAGATGATACAAACAAAAAAATGAATGCCTGGGTTCGTATATATTTTTTGACCTATTTTGATTGTAAATGATTCAAGTAATAAATTTCTAAAATATTAAGAATTTGTAAACTTTCTATGATGTTCAAAATTCTACCTTTCTGCAACCTTCCTTATTAAGCTATACAATTTTTTGTCGCTTTAAATCACTTTATTATGAAACTTTGAATAAAAAAACAAAATCTATGCGGTTAAAATTATTCATTTTACTCAAGTAATCATGACTAAAGTTGTTATTTTCAAAATTTTTGATAAAAGTTTGTTTGTATTATCTGTCCTTAAGTAAATTGTTAGTCTTAACATGTTTTTAAAATTAAGGGCGTTCAGGAAAATGTCTATCAAAATTGTAATATACTGATAGAATCACTTGTAAATCACATTGTCCAACGGGTGGCTTTCATTATAAACAAATCATGACATAGCCCATTGAAGTAAATTGTCCTTTAGAAACGGGTTACGTAAAGGGTCTTATAGCTATCTTTAAGTAAACACCTTTCAAAACTGTTAACGATATCACGAGATTGGCCTATCTTTTCATTGTCCATAATTACTACCTCCTCGTAGGCCATATAACGATATTGATGTCTGCTCACTTCAAGACGTGTTATGTTTTGCCTTCAATTGCAGTATGAGGAATATACGGTATAATAAATACCTGGTACTTTTATCGTATATTTTCTTTAATTACCTGTCTTTTGGTGTATTAGTTTCTTCCAACATGAACACAGTGTTGGGGTAATTTTTTCAGGGGTATATGGTTTGATCATCAGAAATTATTAAATAAACAATAACCAGGAATTATTCCCCACGATTTCATTTTAATTAAAGTAAACTTAGAATTTGAAAAAAATAATTAAAAAAAACTTTGAAAATGATTTTTCAGTATTTTGTTTTTATAATTTGTTTGATTTTTTCAGAGACGAGTTATATTTCGTTCTGAAGACATCTAGTTCATCTCATGCAATCTCAGTTTACTATTAAAAGTTGGACAATATTTATAACTCCTATTCTCTAAGCTTTCTCATTCCTTATTCTCATTATTTATCATATTCAAGCCATGATAAATTACAGATTTAACACTTGAAATCTGCAAGTCTCTTACAATCATGTATTGAAACGTATATAATTTAATGATATGAGTTAAAAGGCTCTAAAGCCCGAAGGATTCATAATAACCAAGAATAGCACAGACAAAGGTACACACCATATTGACAGCTGAAGTTTGATTTGTATTGATATGCTCTGAGCCGAGACATATCTTTTCTTAAACTGCCTAATTCAAATATTTGCATTTCACCAAAAACCTCGATATAATGAAAGTATTGTAAACATATTATGCAGAACCTATTGTTTGCCGTACTGTCGCTTCAGTCAGACTTTACATCTTATTGTTCAAAGCTTGACGAATTTAATTAATTCTTTATATGTACAGAAAATAAGAAAAAATATGTATATGCTCTTGAACAATTGCTAATTGTTGTAAGTGATGAGACTTTGCAGAGAGTGCATAGTTCTTATGCATATTAATATTCAACTGTATAATTCATGTAAACATGCATCTCTCTCTCTCTCTCTCTCTCTCTCTCTGAATGAAAATTAAAATATGGTGACATATCCTTTAAGTATACTTGTAGTGTTAGATTTATTCAACCTTTGCTACTGAAACGACCAGGTCTGGCGTAGTTTGAAGTGAAATATGTGGAGATAACGAACAGTATTCGAGCTCAAAAGTCCATTAAACATTACAAAACAGGAGCAGAGCAAACACGGACTTTTAAGACATCAGAGGTGGGATCGGGTGCCATGGAGGAGTGAGCATCCCCTGCCGACCGGTCACACCCGCCGTGTGCTCCTTGTCATGATCGGGAAATAACGGAAATTCCTTCGACAAGTCAGTGTGTAAATAATGGTCTAACAGTTAGTATGAAAAAAGTCAGTTAGCATCTAACTTAATGAAAGATTGTATTTGCTGACAAGGTCATTGTATCGACCATAGAACTTAAGAAATGATGACTTCAAACGAGACTGCTCATATTCTTCTTTCATCAACTTGTTTGTCAATAATTTACCTCGTTTTAGAAATTATACATACGTAGAGCATGCTCTTGCGTATCGAATCAACTGAGACATATAAACTCCGTATGCAGGTGATGAAGGTATATTGCTGCATAAGTAAGGGAAGTTGATTGAAAAGTTAAAGTCATCACGATTATCATAAAGCTTTGTTATTAGATAACCATTTTTCTAATAAAATATTCAGATATGAAACAGATGTGTCAGACTCTGTGGTATCCTTTATCTCAAGCTCACCGGGATACATCTTGTGGACATAAGAATGGAAATGACCATTGTTTATTGACAATACGTCGTCGATATATCTAAATGTGTATTAGGTACTATGCCTCACGCATTCAAATCTATACGTTAATTTTAATGGAGAAAGCATATTTCGCATAGAATTTTTTAAACACATTTACCAACTAAATCCAAATGTGACCCTGGACCACAGACTGAGATCTGTCCCAATTACCAATATCAAATTAATAACTTTTTTGAAATAATTTCGATACTCAAACAATATTGTCATACTG